AAGCAGTGAAGCGGAAACATACAAAGAATCATACAGGCGACCAAGTTATTGTATCTGATCTTTTCTGCGTCAGATAGAGAATAGTCTTTAACGACCTATGCCATATCTTGAACGAATGTTTCGTGCGCCTTCGAATTCATCTTCTACAGAGCTATTTTGACCTCGTCACGTATCCCATACAAACATCTAGCCTCAACACCCCTCCCAAACGATGTTTTATGAAGTTTTGAGTATTTTCAAAAAAATGTTTTTTTGACCTTTGACCTTTGACCCTGACACAAACAGACAGACAAACAAACAAACCTTTTTTTAATATGACCCTCCTTTCAGTCGAGGGAACATGGGCAGCATTTTTTATTTACACCTGTGGACAAAAGTCTCTTCCCCCCCACTTTCATTTTCTGTTATATTATGTTTGATATTGAACTTAAAATGAAATAGAGGTGTCATTTTAAATGATTTATTTCAGTATGATGTATAATCACCCTTCGCTTCAATCAAGCACTGTACACGCTTTTTCATACTATCAACTAATGTCACAGCTAAATCATTCGACAGACTATTCCATGTTGCTATTATTTCTTGTTCGAATTCATGAAGCGTTCCGATCGTCTTTTTACTTAGTATATCCTTCATAATTGACCATACATTCTCAATTGGATTTTGATCCGGTGATGCAGCAGGCCATGGTAGAACTTGAATTTGGTTATCATATTTCCAATCGAGTGCCACACGGGATTTGTGTTTAGGATCGTTATCTTCTTGAAGAAACCAACTGGTAGGACCTTCTGGAAATTGATCTTCAGCAGTAGAAATAAGACCAGATTCATAGAGCTCACACATAAGTTCACCTGTCAAGTTCTGATCAAAGACAATGAGTCGACCGAAACCATTTCTTGAGAAGCAACCCCATACATGTAGTTTGGGAGGATGTTTAACTGTACGAACAACCTTCTTAACACCTGGAAATCGCCAAACTTTTCTTCCACTGTTGCCAAGTTTAAAAGTCTTCTCATCGGTGAAAATCACATTGTTCCAGTTGTAATTCTTGTGCTGTTGTGCCCAAATGAGTCGCTGTTCACGATGAGTTTCTTTAAGTAATGGTTTTTTTGTAGGTGGTCCATAACTTCCACCATTTTCCCGTAAACGACGTCTTATAGTTCGTGCATTGATATCAACACCTTCTTTCTCTAAAGTGTTGCAAATTTCGTCAGATGTAACATTCTGAACGTTTTTGGCAATTTGAATAATTTTGGAATCGGTCTTTGCTGATGTAGCACGTGGACGACCAGTTCGTGATAAATCACACAAATCTTCATTTTCCTCCCACCGATCAATCCAATGTCGTACAGTTTTCACAGAACAATTTATATATTCTGAGATATCTTTGTTTGA